TTATTTGCACACAAAATATGTCAGACAAGTAAACGAGGGATAGGAATGCTGACGTGTAAAGGTATTGGGACAAATTTGTGTTATCCTGTCCCCCAAAGTAAACGACCCCTATATATATATATATATAGGGAGATGCTACAGTCCCGTTACGGCACCATTCCGTCGGGTTTGTAACCGTTAGATCATCTTGTAACCGTCGGAGATAGTTGATCTAACGGTTACAAACCCTGACGGAATGGTTCCGTAACGGGACCTTAGCATTTTCCATATATATAATGTAATTTCAGTATGAAATTTGTTTCTTTAAAGTAAAATAAACTAATTATTTAGCTCATTTTTTATGTCACAATATATATGTATATATTTGCTTAAAGAAATTACCCATATCGACCGTCAAGTCTAGTTCGACCTATTCAGTTGAGAGAGACCGTTCATTGAGACGAGCCCACTAGCTTATTTATGGGCCTAAAACAAAGTATTGGGCTGAAGTGGGCCTCCGGACGAGCCTGCCCCATTAATCCCATTGTCAACTTAGTTATATAGGCTGAAAACAAAATAAAACTCATTACGGATCCAGAAGCAACAAGTTCTTTTTTTTTTTTTTGGCCGTAGACATGGCCAAGGGCCGCCCGGCTCGCCGACCCGGCACGGTCAAACACATTGACCACGGGTCGGAAAATGGACCGGATTTTCGACGGGCCATGTTAGGGTCATCCATTTCATGACCCGGCCCGGCGAGCTCGGGCAAATGACCCGCTTTTTCTATTTTTATTTTTGTTTTTTTCTATTGTTTTTTTAAAAGAATGATAGACTTGGCCCGGACCTAGACCCGGTCCCAGCACGAGTATAGGTCCGTGTCGCTCCCAGGTCATTGTTTTCGAGCCCGCGAGCCGGGCATGCAGGGTCGTGACCCGGTCCAGGTTTTGACCATGTCTATTTGGCCCAAGTATATCTATAGACTCTTTTATTTCTGAAGATCCATAGACATGATACTTTTCCAAATGTTCCATTTCAATGGATCTCAACTTTTTATTTCGACTTGACGAGATTGCTGTGACGATATTGAAAATATCTCCATAATATATTCATAAAGAAGCGGAAAATCATACTGAAGCCAATATCATGTTAAAATAACGACCCAAAATGCATATGATAAACAAATAATCAGAATAAAAAGAAAAGTTCAATTCTAAAGTAAAAATTATCAACAAATTCTTCATACGAATTCAATATAAATCCATAATCAACTATATGTAAACTTGAATTAAACTGCAGATCAAAATCACCTATAAATTTGTTAGGTAAACCATAGATCACATATAACGTAAACATGTGTGTGATAAACAAAATCTATCGCATTTATCTGATCTTCACCACACTCAATATGCAACAGTACCATAAGACACCAATTTTCTTATTTTTGGCGTTGCTCGATCCATCACCCAACCTTGGTGCAAGGTCTAATAGTTGGCTAGTATTGCTTAGCCTCGAATCTAGTAGTCGACTGTTAAATCTTGCACCAACGGGAAGATCCTTCTCAGCCTGAATCTTTAATCACAAAGGATGGTAGAGCCTAGTGCTTGGTGTAGGTTTGATAGTCGTTGACGATCTTATTGGGCCTAGATCTCATAGTGCTTGGTCTGATATCGAATAATCCACGACAATCTTAGCCCAATATGATAGCGACTAGAACTATTGGGAAATAAAAAAATTAATGAATAAAAGAAATCATTTGAAACCTAATGTGAACTGTGGAGATAATGAGATCAGATATGTTGAGAGGTGAAACATAAGAAATAAATTCAATAAATTTTTCTCTTTGTCCGCAATGCAAAAGAAAAAAAAGGGAGAATAGAAGATGAAATACAATAAGAAAAGATCTAGTGTTTTATTTATATTTATATTTATACAATTTTATATTTATATTTATATTTATATTTAGACCCAAGTATAGACCTAGTCTCATAGCATTGGACTGGATTTTATCAAATTTATGTAATTTTATCCATGTCATCCAAAACTTGAGTTTATTTACATGCCACATATGGAAGACTAGACCCAATGCATTGTAGATGCTCTTAGAGCATCTCAAGTGTATAAGATGTGAATGTTAAATGTCCATGCCACGTGCTTGTATTTAATTAGATAAGTGATCCCCTTAATAACAACGTTAACAATAAAGATAACAACAATCAATTTTTTCGTACAATGCACACTTTCTTTAGGAATTCGGTTAAACTGAATTTTAAACACATCACTCTCTTTCATAATTGAACAGAGTTTTTTTGTACTAGGATTATGTTAATACACATCACTCTCTTTCATAAATTGAACGAGTTTTTAGTACTGGGATTCTGTTAATAAAATATTGAACAAGTATTTAGGAGGAATAACAAGTTCTTTTTTATTCCATATAAATACACTAGGCTAAGAATGTTAAATCATAACCTAACATCGTATTTCTTGAAATCTGATTTTAAAATATATAGAGATTCATTTTCAACATACTTGGAGACTCGTATGTATTCATGTATCTTCCATTAAGTTTTGTTACAATTTTTTTTTACTAGATTTTACTTACTTTTATATACTCCCTCCTATTTTTTTTTAAATGTCATTCTATCATTTTCAACTATTTGCTAAATAAATGTCGTTTTAGATCTTTTGTACATATTTTTTCATTATTATCCTCATTTAGCCAATAAATACATTACGTCTTTTCATATTCACTCTTCATTTTTTCTCAAAACATTCATCTCTATCTTCATTAAATAAGATTATTATTGACAAAAAAAAAAAATCTTAATTAGTGTGCAACTTCTCAAAACGACATATATTAAAATTTTTTATGAACAATGCTACTTGTACCCCTTGGTGTACCACTTGTTATATATACCTTCATGTTTTCTTGAATTCTTCAATCACTTCTCTTTCACTAGGCACATTATGATTTGTATAGAGCAGACACAGATTTTGTTCAGTGTAGTGCACAACATAAAAATTGTCAGATTTTCTTCTCCCTTATCATTTGGTTGCTGTCATGACCCAACTTTGGTAGTATTTGAACGTGGAAAAAGAACAGTTTCATTTGAGCCTTGCATAACTACATGTAATTACTCATTCATTAAAATAAAAAAACTATGTACTATGTATCATTCTGAACCAAAATAATTTCATCAAGAAAGATTAACATTGCTAGCCAATAATATTACAACTTTGTATAACATTTTCCCCAAAGAATGCCTGATAAACTACACTAATGGAGATCTCCAGCGTCTCTGTCTTAACTCAAAGTAATGTACAACAAATCAAGAAAAGTGGAGAAAAATATCCTACAACTCTATTAAAAATACACGGGATGCTGTTTTTGGAGTCCTCATAATCACTGTATCAGCTCAGGGATAAGCTTCAACAAGAAAGCCAACTCATTCTGTGAGAACTGAGGCTTTCTCCCCATAACCTCAACTTTTCCAAACAAAATCTCTTTCTCAACTCCCTCCTCACAAGGCTTCAGCATTTTCGTAAAAGCCTCCGTTATATCTTGCACGAAATCAACAATCACACCATCCACACCCATCAAATGTTGCATGTACACTGCCTCAGGCACATTACTGGAGAAATGATGAAAAAGAAAAAGGAAAAACAGAACACAACAATGCGATTAACTTAAGTAATTTTTAATATCATCCGATCAAATCAAAGGCAAATCGAATTCAAAAAATAACCACGACCCACGAGAAAGAAAGCATACTTCAACTTGCCATATGTCAACAGAGAGAGTTTCAGCTCTTTGATTTTGCTCACAGCAGCCGGATTTCCAAAAATAGCCCTAACTTCCGAGACAATCCGCCCTCAATGCACAATTTGATGGCCTCCTCCAAAGAATTTCTCCGGACATCATAGTATATTTCGTTCCCACCTTTCGTGAGGTAAAACACCTAATCACAAGGAAACTCAAAATATCAATACCACAATAAATAATGCAGTTTTGCTGCTGGTTCGTTTTCAGTCAACTCACGGGGTAAGTGTTTTGAAGCTTCTTAACTAGTAAGGCGGCATCCGGTTGGAAAGTCGAGAAGATTACAGGCCTTTCTTTGGCGTGTTGAAAGACGACTTGCAGCACTGCTTGCAGCACGCAGTTAAGATATTCCGACTGGTAAACAATGTGATGGTCGAATTTCAATTCAATGTTGAAACCGATCGAGGGCTTCACTTCCTGGAAAGCCTCTTGTAGTGTGCAGGCGGGATGGTCGGATTCAACTTCCCGATTTACAATTTTGCCATCCTTTGTTTTCCTCAACAGGGGTTTCCCTTTGGAATTTGATTCTCTTTGAGGACCGTAGCTAAGGAACTCGGACAGAGACAGTTCAGTGACCCGCTTTTCGTAGATTGTCCCCTGATATATTCAAAATTTGAAGCACTAAAAATCCGAAGTTTTCACCGAAAAAAAAAAAATCAACGATGTTGAACAAACAGAAAAATTTATAAGTTTTACGAAAAGATTTATTACGTAAAACTTTACATTATATTTGGAGAAGATGAAGATGTCGTGGAAAATAACGGGAATCCCATCTTTTGTCACCTACAAAAATCAAAATGGGATAACTGAAAAAAATTAATAATAATTAAAAAAAAGAAAGAAGTTGATATTTAGAAACGACGCCGTATAAAGTATGCCGGTACGCGGCGCAAGAAACCTCATCGAATTTGACCCTATCCAGATAAAAAAAGGGGGAATTAAAAAATGCAAAGGCGATGAAGCTGAAGTGAAGAATTGAAGATATGCATATATACCTGAACATCAAACTCAACGAAATCAATGGGGTTTTTGGCGGCGGTATTGAAGGAGAGGATGGTGTTCTCCTTCACAGCCTTCATCCTCAAATCCGACGACTGCAGCTCATTCATCCCGTTCCCATTGTGCCCGATCAACATAAAATTCGGCTCCGTCGTACTCCCATTGCCCGCGCCTGCAAATCAAAGAATAATCAGCACGAAAAAATCAAAAAGAATAAAATAGAGCAAGCATGTTACGTACGTACCCCTGGAGGAAGGAGAAGGGTAGAGAGAAAGGGATGCATTGTTATCGAGATTGGGAACATCGGTGACGTGGACGGCTTTCAGAGCCATTGGTGATGATGGTATATACAGGCAGAGGGATAAATTTGCCTTGGGAGGAGTGAGGAAGATGGGGATAGAATGGGAATTTTTTCAAATTTGTTGCCAAGAAAAAAGGTTGAAGGAGGGGTATTTAAGGTAGTAAACTAAGTCAAGCAGATCGATCGCCTCAGCTGGAATATTCCTATGCCTCAATCGGTTATTCCTTTTCGAACTATAATAGCTTTTTTTTTTTCTTTTTCTCCAAATCAAATGCATTGTTTCAAAAATCAAGAGATAATTTTGAAAATAGATATTTTTTTTTTTTAAAATTGTCTTAATCTCCATTCAATAATTCAAAGGGGAACCGACTAATCTGGAATCGAGCCGGGTAGGACCACTGCTGCATTACCAGACTCGAACACGAGACTACTGGTTAAGTTGGAAGAGACTCAAACCATCTCATCCAAGCGCTCTTGGGTGTATAATTCATTTTTTGATATATAGGAATATAATTTTACTATGAACAAAAAATAAATCAACGTAGGTAGAATGTAGAGATGTATATGGTGGCATAATCAAGAAAAAGGTTATTAATTCCCGATTTTTGGAAGGAATATATATGCGGCGGAAGATTTCAATGTTTTGATTGATTACCATATTTATTTTAATCGTTTCATAAAAAGTTTCCCTGCTTCTCTAGTCTCTTGCGATCGAGTATAGATAGAATGAGACAAGAACCATATAGACGAGTGTAGATGTTGCACAATTCATTAATATATAATTATATATATATATATAGGGTTGGGTTCCAGTGAGAAAGGTTCTCAATGAAAGAAATAAGAATACATCGTAGCCATTAGATCAAATGATTCAATGGCTAAAAAAAATCAGCACTTATTTATTCATTAAGGGTATTTTAGACATTTAAACATTTTAAAATTAATTTGGGCCAACTAATAAACCACCTCCACCCAATCAGTTTGTGCCACGTGGCAAAACACCTCAAATATCCTACCCACTATCTCCACACACACTGACACACACACACTCACATTAATATCAGGCATTACACACAGAAAACACACAATAATACAAACACACGCACTGCCATTGATGAAGAAGAACATCCCCGTTGCCGGCCGCCCATTCCCGGCGGCGTCACGCTTGAACGATGGCTTAGGCGTCGCAGCACCTCCGTCGGACCGCCGCACCGCCGTACGTGTTGGACCTCCGATCCGCCGCCACCATCCACCACAACCACGAAGCTCTGACAAAATCCGGCAACCGATCGCCATCGGGATCTTTGCATCAGCCGTCGCGGAGCTTGCAGTCACGCGCACGTCTCCACCGTTGGTCCATCGTCCAGAGCTCCATCGGTTTCGTTCGCATCCATATCCATCGATGGCCGGTTTCACCCACCCCGCTGGAAGTTGGTGCTGGGTTTCAAGTCGCGGCGGGAGAAGCTCTAGGAGGGATGACTGAGGTCGCTGAAGACGTTGATGTCGGATGTCCCGCCTGAGATGGCTGAACGCCGCCGGTGGAGAGT